CCGTTTTTGTCCACGTCGATCCGCACGGAGTCGCTGAACTCCTTCAGAGTGTTCACTATCGACGCAAACTCCTTCGCGCTGAAAGTTATCTCCACGTCGCTCTCCTCTTCGTCCGGCACTCCCAAAGACTCCTGCTCGATCCCCATCAGCCGCAGGCTGAACGTCGACGTCTTCTCCTCAGCTGCAGCAGCAGCAGCAGCAGCAGCAGCAGCAGCAGCAGCAGCAGCAGCGTCTGAGTCCTCCCGCAGCAGCAGCAGCAGCAGCAGCAGCAGGCGCCGCGGCTGCGCCGGGGCGCCAGCTCCGCCGAACGCCCCCGCAGCACCCCCCCATCCCCCCCAGCAGCAGCAGCAGCAGCAGCAGCAGCAGCAGCAGCAGCAGCAGCAGCAGACCGTTGTTTTCGAAGACGAAAGTAATGAGGTCCCCCTCGTCTTCGTTTTGCACTGAGACAGTGTCTTGGCTGCTGCAGAGTTTGAAGACCTTCACCACCGAAGACATGTTCAGCCCCAAAGACCGCGGCCGGTCGCAGCGGTAGTGCAGAAAACCAACATCTTCCAACTTTAAAGAAACTAATGCCACGTGAGACTGGTCCATGGCCTGAGTGTTCAGGTGTACGTACACTCGAGGAGTAGTGTTCAGGTGTATGTACACTCGAGGAATGCTGAGGTGAAGGCGCATCTGGAGAGGTGCTTAGGTGTACATACAGTTCGATATAAATGGACATCTTCCAACTTTAGGGAAGCCTTGGGCTGTACATTCAGGTGTACGTACACTCGGGGTTTGTTCAGGTGTACGTACACTCGAGACGCACTGAGGTGTACAGACACCTGGAGAGGTGCTGAGGTGTACAGACACTTGAAGAGGTGTTTGGGTGTACAGACACTTGGAAAGATGCTCAGGTGTACAGACACTCGAAAACTTAGGCTGGTCCGTCGCGTAAACTCTGAGGTGTACAGACACTCGAAGAGCTACTGAGGTGCACAGACACTCGAAAGCTCTCTGGTGCACAGACACCCGAATGCCAGGTGTACAGACACTTGAAGACGCAGTCAGGTGCACAGACACTCGAAAGCCTTCTCTGGTGTACAGACACTTCAAAACACACTCTGCTGCGCGGACACTGCGCACAAGACTTGAGGTGTACGTACACCGTGGGGTGTACGTGCAGCTCACCTGGAGTTTGAGTCCGGACTCGTCGCAGTCCAAATTGACTTCGCTGACGAGGCAAGTCATGGCCTCGAAAACGCGTTTGAGGACCACTGCGTTTTGGAGTTTGGCTTCGAGCATTTTCTGGGGCGGGGCGGGGAGTTTCGGGAGTTGCTGCTGCTGCTGCTGCTGCTGCTGCTGCTGCTGCTGCTGCTGTGCAAGTCGCGCTGCGGGCGGCGCGCGAGGCCGGGAAGGCGAAGCACGAAGGCGAAAGGAAGCACGCGAGGCTTTCTTTTTCGAAAATGAAGAAAAGATCCGAAAGGAGTTGGCGAGAAAAGCGGAAATGCGCGGAAGACGGACAGACAGGCGCGGCCAAGCAACCCGAGGGGAGGAAGGTGGTTGCGGTGGTGGGGTAAAGGGGCTTTAATGGCGGGAAAGCTGCGGAAAGTGGAAAGCAAAAGGAAAAAGCGAAACAAATCCGGAAAGTTTCCGCAATTTAAGTTCGAAATCGCGCGAGTTTCCCGAATTCAAGAAATGGAACTTGCAAAGCGCTTTCCGAAGAAGCACTCGACGCGGACTGTACGTACACCTCAGACGGACAGCCGCGCATTGAACGCCGCCCACCGCCACTTGAAATACTCCGTGGAAAGCCGCTTAATCGGCGAATCTTTTTGGGAAAAAAGAAACAAAACTGCTTTTATTATGCAGATATTGCTTGGATTTAGCGGCTGAGGCCTTTTGCGCCGCGGTTTCCACCTCTGCGCCACCGACCTGGAGGGGGCTGTGAGTAGCCGGGGCCCCGAGAGCCGCCTCTGCCTCTGTCTGTTTCCCCAGCTCTTCCGCAGCTTTAATTTCTTTTGTTTCTGCATTAGAATCCTTTCCGTCGGCTGGCTGCGGCTGAAGCTGCCTCGTTTCCCCCCGCAGCAGCAGCAGCAGCAGCATGCACTCTTGCTGCTGCGCTGCTGCTGCTGCTTGCGGCTCCAGACGCAGCTGCCGCCCCAGCTGCCCCGGACCTCCCCCAGCCCCCAATTCCCTCTGCAGGGGCCCCCGCAGCTGCTGATGCTGCCCCAGGAAGCTGCGGCGCTTTGCCTGCAGCTCCGATGCAGCAGCAGCAGCAGCAGCAGCAGCAGCAGCTCCCCAGCGCCTCCCCAGCTCCCCCGTCGCCTCCCTAGTGCTGCTGCAGGGGGCTCGCCGTAGCCTGCTGCCGCCCGCGCCTCCGCCCAGCAGCAGCAGCAGCAGCAGCAGCAGCAGCGGCAGCAGCGGCAGCCGCGGCGGCGGCGGCACTGCAGCAGCGCAGCCGCGCAGCAGCGCAGCAGCAGCAGCGGCGGCTGCGGCTCTCCCCCCGCCGCAGCTGTCTGTACAGCCCAGCAGCCGCATGGCTCCACCAACTTCTTGCTGCTGCTGCTGCCAGTCTTCTTGAGTTGCTGCTGGGGGCCCTTTTGCTGCTGCAGCGCCGCAGATGCTGGCCGAGGGGCCCCCAGCCGCGGGGCCCGTGTACCTGGGCCCCCCGTGCGGCTCCGAGGGCCCCGACGCCGCAGCAGCAGCAGCAGCAGCAGCAGCAGCAGCAGCAGCAGCAGCAGCAGAAGGCGCTCCAGCCCGCAGAGCAGCAGCAGACTGCGAGCAGCAAGAAGTTGAGTCTCCTTCTTTGTCTCCTCGGAAGTACCGGCGGAGTTCCCGGAGAAAGGCCCCCCCCAGCAGAAAGCGGATAAAGCAGGAGCTGCAGGACCCTGCTGCTGCTGCTGCTGCTGCTGCTGCTGCTGCAGCAGCGACAACTGCAGCAGCAGCGGCTTCTGCTGCTGCTGCTGCGCCCGCAGACATCGGCGGCGCGCTGCAGCAGCCCGCCGGCAGCAGCCCCACTCTGTACAGCGCCTTCGAGCTGCAGCAGCAGCCGCTGCTGCCCGGCGCTGCAGCGGGAGCAGCAGCAGCAGGAACTGCAGCAGCAGCAGCAGGGGGGCCCCTCTCCAGCCCGGGGCCCTCGGAGGCCTCCTCGCTGCAGCAAACACTGGAGCCGCGGCTGATAGCTTTTGCTGAACCTGTGGGGCCCCCCGGGGGGCCCCCGGGGGCCCCCGGGGCCCCCGGGGCCCCCGAGGCCCCAGGGCCCCCCTATGCAGCGCAGCAGCAGCAGCAGCAGCAGCAGCAGCAGCAGCAGCAGAGCGCATGCATTGCGAGGCCCCAATGGACTGCTGTGGGCCAGAGAGGCGGCGAGGCCGAAGCAGCAGCTTTCAGCCCTTTGGCGGGGGGCCCCCCGGGGGGCCCCCCGGGGGGCCCCCCGGGGGCCCCCGGGGGCCCCCCGGGGGGGCCCCCCACCGAAGCCGAAGTGAGGGCTGTCATTTCTTTCTTAATGAGGAGGCCCTTGGGAAACATGAAGTTGTCTCCTTGTTTAATGTTGGAGGTGGAGCGGGCCTGGTGGCTGTCGAAGCAGCAGCAGCAGCAGCAGCAGCAGCAGCAGCAGCAGCAGCAGCAGCAGCGGCCCGACGCGGACCGCCTGCAGCAGCAGCAGCAACACTTGAAGCCCAACGGCCTCGCAGCAGCAGCAGCAGAACAAACAGACAGAAGCGTCAAGGAGGAAGCAGCAGCTGCAGCGCAGCAACGGGGGCCCCCAATTGAAGCAGCAGAAGCCCCCCCGCCAGCAGCAGCAGCAGCAGCAGCAGCTGCTGCTGCTGCAACTGCAGCACCAGCTGCTGTTGCTGCAGCAGCGCCTCGCGCTGCTCCGTGTCCGCCCATGAGCTTCCGAGCAGCAGACCCGTACGGCGGGGAAACAGACCCTCCTCCAGCAGCAGCAGCAGCAGCAGCAGCTGCTGCTGCTGCTGCTGCTGCTCCCACTTATGCTGTTGCTGCTTCCTCGCGCTCTACGGCGCCGCTGTGCCCCAGCAGCAGCAGCGACTGCGGCTTGCCCTTCCCAAGGCTGCAGCAGCTGCAGCAGCAAGAACTGGAGCAGCAGCGAATGCAGCAGCAGCAGCTGCAGCAGCAACAGCTGCAGCAGCAACAACTGCAGCAGCAACAGCTGCAACAACAACAGCTGCAGCAGCAGCAGCTGCAGCAGCAACAGCTGCAGCAGCAGCAGCTTCAGCGCCAACAATTGCAGTCGCAGCAGCTGCAGCAGCAACAGCTGCAGCAGCAGCAGCAACAGCTGCAGCAGCAGCAGCGGCAGCTGCAGCAGGCTCCACTACAGCAGCCGCGGGCACCGCAGGTACAGCCGCAGGTGCAGCAACCACAGCTGCAGCAGCAGCAGCTGCAGCCGCAGCCGCTGCAGCAGCAGCAACTTCAGCAGCTGCAGCAGCCGCAGCTGCAGCCGCAGCTGCAGCAGCAGCGTTCCCCGCTGCAGCAGCCCCCGCTGCAGCAGCCCCCGCTGCAGCAGCCGCCGCTTCCGCAGCCGCAGCTGCAGCAGCAGCACTTGCAGCAGCAGCACCTGCAGCAGCAGCAGCTGCAGCAGCTGCAGCAGCCGCCGCAGCTGGCACAGGCGCCGCAGCTTCCGCAGCAGCAACTGCAGCAGCAGCAGCAGCAGCTCCGGCAGCAGCCGCCGGTGCAGCGCCAGCCGCAGCTGCACGAGCTGCAGCAGCTGCAGCAGCAGCAGCAGCTGCAGCAGCAGCAGCAGCAGGACTGCTTAGGGGTCTCGAGTTTGCCTTTCGCGCAGCCCCCAGTGCTGCTTCCAAACCCTTCTAAATTAGCAGCAGCAGCAGCAGCAGGGGGGCCCCCAGACCCTTCTGGGGGCCCCACACTTTTGCCTTTAAACCCTCCGGAGTCCCCCGGAGGGGCCCCCCAGGGGCCCCCCGGGGGCCCCCCTCCCCTCAATTGGCTGGAGAGTTAATGCTGCAGCAGCAGCAGCAGCAGCAGCAGCAGCAGCAGCAGCTGCGCCCTAAGGCTTGGTTAATACCCTTTGGGGGCCCCCGGGGGCCCCCTGAACTGCTGGGGCCCCAGGGGGCCCCCAGGGGCCCCCCAAAGACCTGTTGGGGGCCTCCAGGGGCCCCCCAGGGGCCTCTTTTGGGGCCCCCTGGGGGCCCCTGGGGGCCCCTGGGGGCCCTAAAAGAGGCCCCTGGGGGCCCCTAGTTGTTTTTGAGTGTGTGTGTGTAGTTGCTTGTGTTTCGGTGTTGTGTGTGGGGCTGGAAGGGCTGAGGGTTTAGGGTTTAGGGTTTAGGGTTTAGGGTTTAGGCCTGCTTTTTGTTTAAAGAACACTCACTGGACCATTTTATTTGGCCTTTCGGCCAATTTCTTTTTCGGCACTTCTCCAAACTCAAAAGGCCTTTTCTTCGTTTTTTCTCCACCCTGGCCCGCGCTCTCAGCTAGCTAGCTAGCTAGCTAGCTAGCCAGCTAGCTAGCTAGCTAGCTAGCTAGCTAGCTAGCCAGGTAGTTAGTTAGCTAGCTAGCTAGCCAGGTAGTTAGTTGCTGGCTAGCTAGCTAGCCAGTTAGTTGGTTAGTTGGCTAGCTAGCTAGCTAGCTAGCTAGCCAGGTAGTTAATTAGCTGGCTAGCTAGCTAGCTAGGTGGCCAGTTAGTTAGTTAGTTAGTTAGATGGCTAGCTAGCTAGCCAGCTACCGGCTAGCCAGCTAGCTGGTCGCGTTTGCAGGTTGCATTTTAGATTGGATTAAATGAATTTTATTTTTTTTATTTCTTTGCACTTCAGTGCTGGAGGTGTACGTACACCTCGTTGCATGCGCCGTTTTACTTTTATTCTTCGATTCTTTTCTTTAATTCCTTTTTACTTTTATTTATTTATTTATTTTTATTGTTTATTTTTATTATTTATTTTTATTTATTTAGTTTTATTTGTTTAGTTTTATTATTTGCTTTCTTTATTTTCTTTTAATAATTTTTTCCGACCCTTTGCAGTTGGGTGGACTCGGGTGTACGTACACCTCACCCGCCCGCACAAACACGAATTTGCATGCAGAAAAAAAAATCAAAAAAAGAAAAAATAAAATTAAATGAAAATATAAATAAAAATAAAACAAAATAAAAATAAAATGGAATAATATAAATGGAAATAAAACAATAAAAAGGCAGTTTGAATGGATTTGAATCCGAGTCAAGGAGGTAGCGGGGAAGCGGAAAGAAATTAATTGCAATTTATTTCTTTTTTTCTAAAATGATTTTAAAAGATAAAATAAAATAAAATAAAATAAAATAAAATAAATAAATATAATTCAACAAATGGACATATTCGTCAAGAAAAGGCGAAATTGACGCAAATTTTGACCCTGGTAAACCCTAAACCCTAGTAAACCCTAAACCCTAGTAAACCCTAAACCCTAGTAAACCCTAAACCCTCGTAAACCCTAAACCCTCGTAAACCCTAAACTCTTTCTCTCTGGCTGATGCCTTCGCTCGACGACAACCAACAAACCCTACGCCCCAAACCCTAGGCCCGAAACCCCTTACGACAAGCCCTAAGCCTAAAACCCTAAACCCTAATCCATAAACCCTAAACCCTAAACCCTAAACCCTAAAGTTAGAGTCCCTGTTATTGAACAGAAGACCCTCATAAAGCAAGGCAGACTGTACTGCCTGAGGTGTATGTACACCAGATCTTTTAATGGGGTTTGCTGCATCAGATTTTTTGTTTTTAATTTTATTTAAATAAAAATATAATTAAAGAATTTATTTATTTCGCAGCAATTTGAAAGAAATGTTCTGAAATTAATTTGCTGCAAAGATGATTTTGAATTTCACTTTTTAATATTCAAAACCCTTTTTGGCAAACAACAGAAACAACCAACTCTTCAGGGGCTAGGGTTTAGGGTTTAGGGTTTAGGGTTTAGGGTTAAGGTTTAGGGTTTAGGGTTTAGCCTTCAGGGGTTGGGATTTAGGGTTTAGGGTTTAGGGTTCAGGGTTTACGGATCCGGGTCTAGGGCTTAGGGTTTAGGGTTTAGGGCTTAGGGCTTAGGGTTTAGGGTTTAGGGTTTTAGGGTTTAGGGTTTAGGGTGTAAGCGTTGGGGAAGAAGTGTGTATGTGCGTCACAAGCTCTGCCACAAAACGAAAGAAATTAAACTTTTATTTTAATTAATTAATTAATTTATTTTTGATTAATTAATTTATTTATTTTCAATTTATTTATTTTTATTGTGTATTTGTTTAATATGCTACCGAACAGCAGCAGCAGCAGCAGCAGCAGCAGCAGCAGCAGCAGCAGCAGCAGCAGCAGCAGCAGCAGCAGCGGCAGCAGCATGCAGCCCTAGGGCTTTCCTTATTGTGCTGCTGAGTCTTCTTCGACTAAAAAATTAAATAAATAATTTATTCTTTAATTTTTAATCTAGCCAAGCTTTCAAGAAGGCCCACAAAACCCTAAACCCTAAACCCTAAACCCTAGACCCTAAACCCTAAACCCTGGCGGTGGGAGAAGCTCGTAATGGCCGTTGGAGAGTACATTGAGGCTTCACTTTGCCGAGCAGCCCCGCAGAGAAAAGCCCTAATTTAGGGTTTAGGGTTTAGGGTTTAGGGTTTAGGGTTTAGTGTGTGTGGTTGAGGTTCTAGGGTTTAGGGTTTAAGAAGGGCTCCTGACCCCACCAGCCCCAGCTGCTCCCCAGCAGCAACCCCCCACAGCAGCAGCAGCAGCAACAGCAGCAGCAGCAGCAACAGCAGCAGCAGCAACGACAGCAGCAGCAGCAACAACAGCAACAGCAGCAACAACAGCAGCAACAGCAGCAACAACAGCAGCAACAGCAACACCAGCAACAGCAGCAGCAACAACAGCAACAGCAGCAGCACCAACAGCAACAGCAGCAACAGCAGCAGCAGCCTCAACAGCAACAGCAGCAGCAGCAGCAGCAGCAGTCCGAGAATGAGCCAGAGCAGCAGCAGCAGCAGCAGCAGCAGCAGCAGCAGCAGCGGGCTGTGCGCGGAGTCGCGGGAGCTGCTGCGGGTGCTGCACGGGCAGGGCGTGCTGCTGTTTGGGAGTTTCATTTTGAAGAGTGGAAGAAAATCTTTTTTCTTTTTTAATTCTGGAAAATTAAATGACGGAAGAAGTTTGCGCGCAGCAGCGGAGGCGTTCGCGAGGTGTCTGTACACCCGAAACTTGCACTGCGACCTGCTCTTCGCGCCCGCCTACAAGGTCCGATCTTCGGCGATTCGCCGCCATTTTCGCTCCTTTTTCGATTTTTCTGCTCCATTTCTTCTTCTTTTTCCATTTCCAACTTTTATTTCCGCTTTTTTCCGCGCTTTCCCGCCTTCTGGCGGCCGAGATCGGCCGCGGGCCGCCTTCGCGCGCCCGCGCCGGGTGTATGTACACCGCAGCTCGCGCCCGCGCGAAGCGCTCCAATTTCACGAATTGCTTCGTTAAATTCACAATTAAAAATAAATAATTATAAATTAAATCAATAAACCCCTAAATCCGTGTTTTAGGGGTTTTATAATTCACGGAGAGGCGCCGGAGGCCCCACTCACCTCCGGTTCCTCTTCCACCCGGAACACCCCTTTCAGGGTTTAGGGTTTAGGGTTTAGGGTTGGGGTTTAGGGTTTGGCTGTTTGTGCGCTGAGCAGTAAACAGCAAGGCGGTGAAACACGTGAAGACGCGCATTTAGGGTTTAGGGTTTAGGGTTTAGGGTTTAGGGTTTGGTGGTGTGGGTGTTGGGGTGTACGTACACCGCAGGGCATCCCGCTGGTCTGTTCCACCGCCGTGGCGCTTTCATATCTTTTTAATTTGAAAGTTCCTTTTCTCTTCGACAGAAAAGAAGAAAAGCAACACGGAGAGGGCGGCGCCTTCATTGGAGCCACGGAGCTGCTGCTGCCAAGCAGCAGCAGCAGCAGCAGCAGCAGCAGCAGCAGCAGCAGCAGCAGCAGCAGCGGCAGCAGCGGCAGCGGCAGCGGAGCCGGCGAAGCAGGCCAAACCGAGCCCCAGCAGCAGCAGCAGCAGCCCCAGCAGCCCCAGCAGCAGCAGCAGCAGCCCCAGCAGCCCCAGCAGCAGCAGCAGCAGCAGCAGCAGCAGCAGCAGCAGCAGCAAAAGGAGGTTCGTGTGGTGTTATTGGATGATGTTTTGACTTCCGGAACTGCTTTAAGAGCTTCCATTAAAAAGATAAAAAGTGCAGCAGCAAATTGTTCTGTTGCTGCTGCTGTTGTGCTGCTGGACAGAGAAGAAGTGGCGGAGGGTGAGGGGAAAATAAATTAAATTAATTAAATTAATTAAATTAATTAAATAAATTAAATAAATTAAATAAATTAAATAAATTAAATAATTAAATAATTAAATAATTAAATAATTAAATTAATTAAATTAATTTGATTTAATTTGTTAAATTGATTTAATTTAATTTATTGGATTAAATTGAATTAGATCTATTTAATCAATTAATTTAATTCAATTAATTGAAGTAGATTAAACTAAATTAAATTGAACTAATTTAATTTAATTTAATCAATTTAATCCAATTAGTTGAAACAAATTAAATTAAATTAAATTAAATTAAATTTAATTAATTAATTTAATTAATTTAATTAATTTAATTAATTTAATTAATTAAATTAATTAAATTAATTAAATTAATTAAATCAGTTCAGTTAAATTAATTTATTTTGATTTAGTTTGGTTTGCCTGAGAGCAGCAAAAAACTCAATTTGGCAATTAATTTAATTTGTTTTAAATCATTTTAATTAATTTTATTTTATTTAATTTGTCTTTATTTAATTTATTTTAATTAATTTATTTTTAATTAATTTTATTTTAATTAATTTAATTTATTTTTAATTAATTCAATTTCTTTTTTAGTGATTTAGGGAGTAAAAGAAGGAAATAAAAAATGCTAAAAAGAATTAAATAAAAGTAAATAAACAAAATAAAATAATAAATAAAAATAATAAATAAAAATAATAAATAAAAATAATAAATAAAAATAATAAATAAAAATAATAAATAAAATTATTAAATAAAAATAATAAATAAAAATAATAATTGAAAATAATAAATAAAAATAATAAATAAAAATAATAATTGAAAATAATAAATAAAATTATTAAATAAAAATAATAAATAAAAATAATAATTGAAAATAATAAATAAAATGCTAAATGCAAAGAAATGCCATTAAGAGGAATAAAATTCGCGTTGCTGCAGCGTCAAGAACACAGCAGCAGCAGCAGCAGCAGCAGCAGCAAATAAAAACTAAAATTGAATTGAAAAATGCGAAACAAGAAATGCGTTTGCTGCTGCTTTGCAGGCAGCAGCAGCAGCAGCAGCAGCAGCAGCAGCAGCAGCAGCAGCAGCAGCAGCAGCAGCATTTCTGCTGCTGCAGCACTGGAGCAGGAGTTTAAAATCCCAGTAATATCTCTTTTGAAAATGAAAGAGTTGCTGCTGTTTTTGGAAGAATTAATTAAAGAAGAAACAAATCCAGAAAAGAAAAAAGAACTGCAGCAGCAGCTAACCCTCATGCAGCAGCACAGGCAAACCTACGGCGCCCACAAACCCTAAACCCTAAACCCTAAACCCTAAGCCTGCGCCAGTGGCCTTCGAACCCGCTGAACGCAGCTGCAGCAGCAGCTGCAGCAGCAGCTGCAGCAGCAGCTGCAGCAGCAGCTGCAGCAGCAGCTGCAGCAGCAGCTGCAGCAGCATCAGCAGATGATCTGGGAGCAGCAGCAGCACCAGCAGCTGCTGCAGCATCTGCAGCCTCAGCAACTGAGGCGGCAGCAGCGGCAGCATCAGCAGCAACTGCTGCATCAGATGCAGCAGCAGCTGCAGCACCGGCAGCTGCAGCAGCAGCAGCAGTTGCTGATGCTGCAGCGAGCGTTGGAGCAGCAGCAGGTGTAGCCGTAGCATCTACTACAGCAGCAACAGCAGCTGCAGCAGCAACAGCAGCTGCAGCAGCAACAGCAGCAGCAGCTGCAGCAGCAGCAGCAGCTGCAGCAGCAGCAGCAGTAAGCGTAGCAGCAGTATCTACTGCAGCGGCAACAGCAGCTGCCGCAGCGGCAGCAGAAGCTGTAGCAGCAGCATCTGCTGCAGCAGCTGTAGCAGCAGCATCTACCGCAGCAGCAGCAGCATCTGCTGCAGCAGCTGTAGCAGCAGCATCTACCGCAGCAGCAACAGCAGCAGCATCTGCTGCAGCAGCTGTAGCAGCAGCAGCTGTAGCAGCAGCATCTACCGCAGCTGCTGTAGCAGCAGCAGCAGCAGCAGTAGCAACAGCAGCTGTGGCAGCAGCAACAGCAGCTGTGGCAGCAGCAGCAGCGGCTGTGGCAGCAGCAGCAGCAGCTGCGTGGGGGTTTTGTTTGCAGCAACTGCTTCTGTCGAAAGTCTGGTCTTGTCAGTGGTTTAGGGTTTAGGGTTTAGGGTTTAGCCGTAGGGATGGCTGAGCTGCGGACTGCTAGGGTTTAGGGTTTAGGGTTAAGCGAGGAGCAGCGTAGGGACACCCTAATTGAGGGTTTAGGGTTTAGGGTTTGGCAGGGCTCCCTGCGCGAGGTGTCTGTACACCTGAACTCCGTTGCTAATTTTTGCTGCTCTTTTGCTGCTATAGCTCATTTCTTTTAGCAGCAGCAGCAGCAGCAGCAGCAGCAGCAGCTGCTGCTGCTGCTGCTGCTGCTGCTGTGCCTGGGCGCCCCACTGCTGGTGCGGCGAAGCGCAAAACCCTGTTTTAGGGTTTGGACGAGGGGTTGGAAGGGGAGCGGCGGGGGCTTGGGGAGAGAAGCTGCGGGGGAACTAGGGTTTAGGGTTTAGGGTTTAGGGTTTAGGGTTTAGGGCTTAGTGTCAGTCCATCGATCACGGGGTTGGGGGCGAGTGGGCTCGCGGCTGCAGCTGCGAGGGTTTAGGGTTTGTGTGTAGGGCAGCTGGGGGCGCAGTGAAGGGCAAAGCGCAAACCCTAAACCCTAAACCCTAAACCCTAAACCCTAAACCCTCGCCGCCGCCGGCGAGCGAGAGGGCTGCGGCTGCGGCTGCTGCTGCTGCTGCTGCTGCGGTTTTGCCTTGCTTTTGAAGTTAGTGTTTAATTTTAAATGTTAATAAAAAGAAATAATAAATAAAAAGAATAATTAGGGTTTAAGGGCCCCTCATATCTGCTGCTGCTGCTGCTGCTGCAGAGCTGCCGCTCTAAGTGTTGCAGCCGCTGCTTTCTTCGCTGCCTCAGACCCTAAACCCTAAACCCTAAACCCTAGCCGCTAGACCTTTCTTCCTCTCTCCGCGCCGGCCCCAGCCCAAACGCCAAACCCTAAACCCTAAACCCTAAACCCTAAACCCTAAACCCTCCATCATGCGGTCTTGCTCCCCTGCAGCCACCACCCCAGGCCCCTGCAGTGTACATACACCTCTGCTTTGAGCTGCAGCCCCTGCAGCGAGGGTTTAGGGTTTAGGGTTTAGGGTTTAGGGTTTAGGGTTTAGGGTTTGTCCCTCTGCCCGTCTGTCTCGTATCCGCGGGGGTGGCCTCGGCTGCGGCGAGCCCGGACTCGCGACCGCCTCAAACCCTAAACCCTAGGCCCCAAACCCTAAACCCTAAACCCTAAACCCTAAACCCTCGCCGCCAGCCAGGGCCCTGGGGGGGTTTTCTGGGGCTCCGGCGGTGATTTGCGCGTCGGCCCAGCGCGCAGCCAAACCCTCGCCCTCGGGCCCCAAACCCTAAACCCTAAACCCTAAACCCTAAACCCTAGCTCTTCAATCATGGACCCTCTCCCAGACCCTAAACATGACCGCGTTGTCTCTTCTGTCCAACCCCCTCCCGCTAAACCCTTATCATCTTCTTTTCTTTTTCCGGAGGGTCCAGACGCCCCGCCCAACTGGAGAGTGAGTTGCGAGGGTTTAGGGTTTAGGGTTTAGGGTTTAGGGTTTAGGGTTTGGGGTTGCGGGGGGTGGCGGGGCTTCCGCTTTCGAGGGCTTTCGGGGTTTGCGAGGGTTTTGGGCCTTCCAGGGTTTCGAGGGTTTGCGAGGGTTTGGGGCTTCAGGGGTTTGGGAGGTTTGCGAGGGTTTAGGGTTTAGGTAGCGCGGGGTTTTCTAGGGTTTGGGGTTTCGAGGGTTCGGAGGGTTTGCGAGGGTTTGGGGTTTCAAGGGTTTGCGGGGGTTTGCAAGGGTTTGCGAGGGTTTGCGAGGGTTTGCGAGGGTTTGCGAGGGTTTGCGAGGGTTTGGGGTCCCTGGAAGGGCTTTAGAGGGTTTAGGGGCATCCGAGGGTTTAGGGTTTAGAAGGCTTTGGGGCTTAGGGGGGCTTTCGAGGGTTTGGAGGGGTTACGAGGGTTTAGGAGGGTTTGGAAGGGTTTAGGAGGGTTTGGGAAGGTTTTTGAGGGTTTAGAGGACTTGGGAGGGTTTTGGGGTGTTCAAAAGGGTTTATAAACCCTGCGAGGGTTTATAAACCCGCAAAGATCCGCGAAGGGTTTAGGGTTTAGGGTTTAGGGTTTAGGGTTTAGGGTTTAGGATCTATCTAGGGCTTACGGCAAAGCCTCAGAGCCTAGGGTTTGTGGCGGAGGCTTCGGGGCCGAGAGCGGAGCGCGCGGGGCTGCGCGTTTAGGGTTTAGGGTTTAGGGTTTAAGGTTTAGGGTTTAGGGTTTAGGGTTTAGGGTTTAGGGTTTGTGCGGCGCAGTGGTTGGGGACATTCATGGCCAGTACTATGACTTGCTGAAACTCTTAGATGTTGGCGGCGACCCCGACACAACCCAGTACGCAAACCCTAAACCCTAAACCCTAAACCCTAAACCCTAGAGGTAAACGCGTGCGCCTGAGCAGCGCCTCTCGGGGCCTGTGCTAAACCCTAAACCCTAAACCCTAAACCCTAAACCCTATTTTGAGTTTTGGAGCGCGAGGAGCTTGTCTGTTTGTGCTTGTTGTTCGTTGGCTGTTCGGCGTTAGGGTTTAGGGTTTAGGGTTTAGGGTTTAGGGTTTGCGGCGCAGGTACTTGTTTCTGGGGGACTACGTGGACCGGGGCAGCTTCTCCATCGAGGTTTTGCTGCTGCTCTTCGCCCTGAAGCTAAACCACCCTTTTAGGGTTTGGCTCCTGCGGGGAAACCACGAGTGCAGACAAATGACATGTTTTTTTAACTTCCGAGACGAGTGCGAGTGCAAGTTCGACATGGAGGTTTACTACGCCTTCATGGAGGTCCGTCAAACCCTTTTTTAGGGTTTGCGCCCCCACCCTCCAAACCCTTTTTCAGGGTTTGCGCCCGCTCGCCAACCGCGGGCCCCAAACCCTTTTTTGGGGTTTGCGCCCGCTTGGCAAGCGCGCGCCCCCAAACCCTTTTTTAGGGTTTGCACCCGGTTGGCAAGCGCGGGCCCCAACCAAACCCTTTTTTGGGGTTTGCGCCCGCTTGGCAAGCGCGCGCCCCCAAACCCTTTTTTAGGGTTTGCACCCGGTTGGCAAGCGCGGGCCCCAAACCCTTTTTTAGGGTTTGCGCCCGGTTGGCAAGCGCGGGCCCCAAACCCTTTTTTAGGGTTTGCGCCCGGTTGGCAAGCGCGGGCCCCAAACCCTTTTTTAGGGTTTCCCCGCGCGAGCCCTCAAACCCTCTTCTGGGGTTTGTGCGCGCGCGCCGGGGTTTGCGCCTTTTTGGGTGGGGGTCTGCAGAGCTTAGGGTTTAGGGTTTAGGGTTTAGGGTTTAGGGTTTAGGGTTTAGGGTTTGCGTTGTTTTTCTCAAGAGCTTCGACTCGCTGCCACTCGCGGCAGTCATCAACGGCAAGTTCCTTGCACTTCATGGGGGTCTCAGCCCGGAGCTCAAGGTGGTGAGTGTTTAGGGTTTAGGGTTTAGGGTTTAGGGTTTAGGGTTTAGGGTTTAGGGTTTAGGGTTTAGGGTTCGGGGCCACAGGAGGTTTAGCGCAGCGGGGGTTTGGCTTCGCATCCCGCCCGCCGGCCTCGCTGCGGCGCCGCGCAGCGGCGCCCAGGCCTAGGGTTTAGGGTTTAGGGTTTAGGGTTTAGGGTTTAGGGTTTAGGGTTTGCGCGCAGCTGAGCCAAATAGGAGGCATCAACAGATTCCAGGAACCCCCAAGAGGAGGTTTATTTTGCGACTTGCTTTGGGCGGATCCTCTCGACGAAGCAAAAGAAGACGCAGACGCTCAGCTGGCGCAAAGCGTCGACGGTAAACCCTAAACCCTAAACCCTAAACCCTAAACCCTAAACCCTAGGCGGTGAACCCTGAGTTCCAGGCGGTGGGAGGCGCCGAGCGCCGGGGTTGAAACCCCGGGCTTCTGGAGGCCCAAACCCTAAACCCTGAAAAAGGGCCTTGGGAATTCGCAGCAGCGGGGGCTTTCTCTGAGGGTTTAGGGTTTAGGGTTTAGGGTTTAGGGTTTAGGGTTTGCTGCGGCGGCGCGGACCGGCGGCGGTTCGAGGGTTTAGGGTTTGCGCCGCTGCGTGGTTGCTGCGGGGTCCCGTGGAGCGCCGTCGCGGCCCGCAGGGCCCTGCGGCCAGGGCTAGGGTTTAGGGTTTAGGGTTTAGGGTTTAGGGTTTAGGGTTTGCGCAGGCGCGTTCATCCCCAACGACGTGCGCGGCTGCTCCTTTTTCTTCGCCTATTCCGCCGCGAGTTCCTTTTTAGATCGAAATGGACTTTTGTCGATTTTGAGGGCCCACGAGGCGCAGCTCGAGGGGTACAAGATGCACCAGACAAACCTCAAAACAGGGTTTCCGACGGTAGGGTTTAGGGTTTAGGGTTTAGGGTTTAGGGTTTGGGGTTTGGGGTTTGGGGTTTGGGGTTTGGGGCTTGGGGCTTGGGGTTTGCGGGGTGGGGCCTGGGTTTGAGGCTTGGGGGTGTGGCTGGGGTTGGGGTTTAGGGCTTACGCTGGGGGTTTAGGGTTTAGGGTTTAGGGTTTAGGGTTTAGGGTTTAGGGTTTAGGGTTTTTGGCGCAGGTCATTACAATATTTTCGGCGCCGAATTACTGCGACGTGTACAACAACAAAGGGGCAGTCCTTAAGTTCGAGGTACTTCTGGATTAGGGTTTAGGGTTTTTAGGGTTTAGGGTTTAGGGTTTAGGGTTTAGGGTTTAGGGTTTCCAGCAAAGAAGACCTGCTGCAAAACTTCAAGGACTATTTTTGCTTCCCCAGCGATGGCGGTAGCAGCACAAGCAGCAACTACAGCAGCAGCAGCAGCAGCAGCAGCAGCAGCAACCGCAGCGGCAGCAGCAGCAAGAGCAGCAACACGACCAGCACCAGCAGCAGCAACACGACCAGCAGCAGCAGCAGCATTACGGCCAGCAGCAGCAGCAGCAACACGACTAGAAGCAGCAGCAGCAACCCGGCCAGCAGCAGCAGCAACACGACCAGCGGCAGCAGCAACACGACCAGCAGCAGCAACAGCAGCAACACGACCAGCAGCAGCAGCGGCAACACGACCAGCAGCAGCAGCAGCAGCAACACGACCAGCAGCAGCAGCAGCAGCAACACGACCAGCAGCAGCAGCACCAGAAACACGACCAGCAGCAGCAACACGACCAGCAGCAGCAACACGACCAGCGGCAGCAGCAGCAGCAGCACCAACACCAGCAGCAGCAGCAGCAGCAGCAGCAGCAGCAGCAGCAGCAGCAGCAGCAGCAGCAGCAATTGGTGTTTGTGTGCGCAGAACAACACTTTAAACATTCAGCAGTTTAACTACAGCCCTCACCCTTACCACTTGCCGAACTTTATGGACATCTTCACTTGGTCTATTCCCTTCGTCTCCGAAAAAGGTAAACCCTAAACCCTAAACCCTAAACCCTAAACCCTAAACGCTCGAAAGCTCTCCCGGGGCAGGAGCTGGCAGGAGGGTTTCGGCAAACCCTAAACCCTCAAATCTAGCTCGCAAGCGAGACGCGCAGCAGACAGAGGTGTTTACAGAATGGCTCTAGTGCCGGGGGATTAGGGTTTAGGGTTTAGGGTTTAGGGTTTAGGGTTTAGGGTTTAGGGTTTAGGGTTTGGGGTTTGGGGCGCAGTCACTGAAATGCTGTACGGCATTTTAAACCCTTCACTGGAAGAGGGAGAAGAAGACGAAGAGATCGACAATGTTGAACTGCCTCCGGAGGCAAGCCATTAGGGTTTAGGGTTTAGGGTTTAGGGTTTAGGGTTTAGGGTTTGGGGCTTGGGGTTCAGGGTTTAGGGTTTAGGGTTTAGGGCTTAGCAGGGTTTGTCAGGGTTCAGGGTTTATGACTGCGACGTTTGAGGGCTCAGGGTTTGTTTAGGGTTTAGGGTTTGGGGTCTCGGGCTTATCAGGGTTTGTGAGGGTCGTCTACCCGGGTTTAGGGTTTAGGGTTTAGGGTTTAGGGTTTAGGGTTTAGGGTTTGTGGCGTTTCGCTTTTCAGGTAGTAAAGATAATGCGTGCGAACATCGTGCTCGCGGAAGAGGGAACAGCCCCCAGAAGTCGGCCTCCTAGTAGGGTTTAGGGTTTAGGGTTTAGGGTTTAGAGTTTAAGGTTTAGAGTTTAGGGTTTAGGGTTTAGGGTTTCTCTGGGTTGCGTGAGCAGCTGCGGCCACGAGCTTGGGCAGAGCATTTATTTGCTTCAGAGTTCGGGCTGCCACTCACTGCACGTGTTTAGGGTTTAGGGACTAGGGTTTAGGGTTTAGGGTTTAGGGACTAGGGTTTAGGGTTTAGGGTTTAGGGTTTAGGGTTTTGCTGCAGGCGCTGGCACTCCAATAAGTCGGGAGCGCGCTGAGGCCTTGCGACGCAAAGTGCAGTCGGTGGGGCGGCTAATGAGAGTCTTCAAAACCATCAGGTTTGCTGCTGCTGCTGCTGCTGCTGCTGCTGCTGCTGCTGCTGCTGCTGTGCTGCTGCTGCTGCTGCTGTGCTGCTGCTGTTGTGCTGCTGGTGTGTGCTGTTGTGCTGCTGCCGGTGTGCTGCTGCTGTGGTGCTGCTGTTAGCGCTGCTGCTTTTAGTGCTGCTGCTGTTGCTGCTGCTGCTGTTAGTGCTTTTGCTGCTGCTCCTGCTTCTCGTAGTGGTGCTGCTGCTGCTGCTGCTGCTGCTTGCAGTGCTGCTGCTGCTGCTGTAGTGCTGCTGCTGCTCTTGGCGCTCGTGCTGCTTCTTCTGTTGCTGCTGCGTCTGGTAGCAGCGCAGGGCAGTGTCGCTGCTGCTGTGCTGCCGCTTTTACTGCTGCTGCTGCTGTTGCTGCTGCTGCTGCTGCTACCGCTCTTGCTGCTGCTGCTGCTGCTGCTGCTGCAGGGAAGAAAACGAGTTGATAATGCAGCTCAAAGGCTGCACCCCTGGGGATCGGATCCCAGTGGGCCTTTTGATTCAGGGCCGCGAAGGACTTGAAAACGGTGGGGCACAAACAAACACAAATTAGGGTTTAGGGTTTAGGGTTTGGGGTTTAGGGTTTAGGGTTTAGGGTTTAGGGTTTGGGGTTTGCGCGCGCCTGCAGAGCTCGAGAAGTTCCAAAACGCAAAACAATAGGACGCCATGAACGAACGGCGGCCAGATGGAGCTTCGAAGCGATAGGCTGCGCCGAGGGTTTAGGGTTTAGGGTTTAGGGTTTAGGGTTTAGGGTTTAGGGTTTGGCGGGAGGTCTCCTGGCTCACTCCGCCGCAGCAACTCCGCGTGTGGGCCCTCAGCTAGCCCCGGCACATTCTAGCTATCCACAGCTAGCTAGCCATAGCTAGCTAGCCACGGCTAGCTAGCCACGGCTAGCTAGCCACAGCTAGCTAGCCACGGCCAGCTAGCTGTAGCTAGCTGTAGCTAGCTGGGCTCCGCAGCCTCTCCTCCGAGCCAGACGCAGTGCATGTGATGGGCAGCGCCACCATGGCCAGCTAGCTAGCTGGCTAGCTAGCTGGCTAGCTAGCTATTGGCTAGCTGGCTAGCTGGCTGCTTGGCTAGCTAGCTAGCTGGCTAGCTAGCTCTCTGGGCAGCTGACGCCCTTGCTGGCGGCTCCTCAGCAGCTGGCTAGCCAGCTTCATCTCGTCAGCTAGCTGCAGCTAGCTATGGCCAGCAGCTGCCTCGGCAGTTGCAATATTCAGCAAAGGCCCACTCGCCGCTTCGAAGCCTACGAACTCTCGGGGGCCCCCAGGGGCCCCCTGGGGGCCCCCAAAGGGCCTCTGGGGGCCCCTAGGGGCCCCCTGGGGGCCCCCAGAGGGCCCTTGGGGGCCCCTAGGGTTTCCTAAGGCACTGAACCCCTCAGGGCTATCTAGGGGGCCCCCTTAGGAGCTCTTGGGGGCCCCCTGGTCTCTTCAGGGGGTTTGCGAGACCCGCGGGGGCCCCTGGGGGCCCCTGAAGGGCCCCCTGGGGGCCCTCAAAAGGTCCCCTGGGGGCCCCTGAAGGGCCCCGGGGGGCCCCCAAAAGGCCCCCGGGGGGCCCCCTGAAGGGCCTTTGGGGGCCCCCAAGGGGTCCCCTGGGGGCCCCTTTGGGGGCCCCGGGGGCCCCCAAGGGGGCCCCTTGTTGGTGGCGCAGTGGCTTTGTTGAGGCATTGGAAGATCTATATGTTTTTGTATTCATGTTTATTAGCTGCTGGCAAACCCTGAGCTGTACGTACACCCCAACTGCTGCTGCGCAGCTGCCACTTTCGAGAGGCAGCAGCAGCAGCTCGGGGGGCCCCCAGGGGCCCCTTGGGGGCCCTCAGGGGCCCCCTGGGGGCCCCCAGGGGCCCCCTGGGGGCCCCCAGGGGCGCCGGGGGGCCCCCAAAGCTGCGGGGGGCCCCCTAGGCTGCCGGGGGGCCCCCCAGCCCACCAGGCTGCCGGGGGGCCCCCAAAGCTGCGGGGGGCCCCCAGGGTTGCGGGGGGCCCCCAAGGCTGCTGGGGGGCCCCTAGAGGAATGGGGCCCCCTAATGGGGCCCCCCTTAACCAGGTCAAGAAGCCCCAAGGGGCCCCTGAGGGACTCCGGGGGGCCCCCTCGCGGGGCCCCCTGTGGGGCCCCGTGGGGGCCCCCTATGGGGCCCTCTGGGGGCCCTCTTGGGGTCATTTGGGGGCCCCTTGGGGGGCCCCTGTGGGGGCCCCCCAAAGGCTACCTGGGGGCCCCCTGGGGGCCCCCCAGAGGCCCCGGCAGGGGCCTTTAGGGCCTCGCAGTGGGTGTGAGGGTCTGCTGCTGTCAAATGTTTGGCGAGATCTGCTGCAGCAGCAGCAGCAGCAGCAGAACGCTCCTGCTGCTGCTGCAGCAGAGCGCTTGGGCTGCTGCTGCTGCTGCTGCTGCTGCTGCTGCTGCAGCTGAAGCGTTTGAGGAAGGACCCACGCATCTGAATATACAGATATAAATTAATGGATGAGTTTGGTTTTAATAACAATAAATATATAATAAATATATATATTATAAGTAATATATATATCATATATATATATATATTATATATATTATATATATATAATATGTTTATAAGTATATATTATGTATAAATAATATATTTATGTTTTATATATTTGTTAAAATATAAAAGTCCGATTTAGAGGGCCAGTGAGGTAGGCAACCTGCTGCTGCTGCAGCCTCTGCAGCAGCAGCAGCAGCAGCAACAACGGCAGCAGCAGCAGCAGCGGCAGCAGCAGCAACGGCTTGTACCACCGAAGCAGGAGCAGCAGGCAAGAAGCTGCAGCAGCGAAGAGCTGCACGGCAGCAGCAAAAAGCAGCTGCAGCACGGCAGCAGCAAGTTACAGCAGCAGCAGCACGTAGCAGCAGCAGCACGGCAGCAGCAGCACGGCAGCAGCAAAGAGCAGCAGCAGCACGGCAGCAGCAGCAGCAACTCGCCCCTGGGGAATCCGGTGGCAGCAGCAAATGCTCCCCGCAAACGCTGCCTGCTGCAGCCAACACTCATTGTGCAGCTAGCTAAACTTTGCTGCGGCTAGCTGCAGCAGGCCGTAGCTAGCTGCAGCAAGCCGTAGCTAGCTGCAGCTAGCTGCAGCAAGCCGTAGCTAGCTGCAGCTGGCTCCAGGAGGCTGTAGCTAACTGCAGCAAACTGTAGCTAGCTGCAGCAGGCTATAGCTAGCTGCAGCAGGCTATAGCTAGCTGCAGCAGGCTGTAGCTAGCTAGCTGCAGCAGGCTATAGCTAGCTGCAGCAGGCTATAGCTAGCTGCAGCTCACCACAACTAGCTGCAGAGAGCCACAGCTTGCCATAGCTGGCCACGGCTAGCCACAGCTAGCTACAGCCAGCTACGGCTAGCTACAGCTAGCCACAGCTTATAACAACTAACCACAGCTAGCCATTAGCCACAGCTAGCCACAGCTAGCCACAGCTTGCCGCAGCTTGCTGCAGCTAGCCACAGCTAGCCACAGCTAGCTACAGCTATCTACAGCCTGCAGCTAGTCACAGCTTGCTGCAGCTAGCCACAGCTAGCTACAGCTATCTACAGCCTGCAGCTAGCCACAGCTAGCTACAGCTAGCCACAGCCAGCTACAGCTAGCTGCAGCTGCAGCTAGCTGCAGCTAGTACCTGCTGGGCCAAGAGGTGCAGCATGTACAGCTCGCACGTGCTGGGCAGAGAGTGGGGTTCTACAGCGCCAACCCTAAACCCTAAACCCTAAACCCTGGTCCCTGAGCGCTAAACCCTAAGCCCTGAGCGCTAAACCCTAAACCCTGATCCCTAAACCCTAGGCCCTGGGGCTGCATTTGCTGCTTCGCGGTGTTTTGGCTGTCGCTGCAGCATTTGAGGTGTACATACACCCCAGCAGCGGCGGCGCCGGCGAGTGTTCTGCGGGTCCATTTGGAGCACAAAAAAGAGAAATAATGGAAAGTTTGCATTTTAAATGAATAATTTAATTAATTTAAATCATTTTAATTCAAAAAAGAGTTGCACTTGGAGCTCCCAAGGCCTCGGGGGCCCTGGCGCTCGGACTGCTGCGCGCATGCACGGCGGGGCTCCTGCAGCGGTTGGGGCCCCTCTAGAGGGGCCCCCCTCCTTTATTTGTTTTAAATTATAAAAATAAAATTGAATTTTAAAAAGTGAAGATTGAATTTAGGGTTTTAGGGGTTGGTTTGGGTCCGCGGGAGTCGAGGTGTACGTACACCTGAGAGCTGCTGCTGCAGCTGCTGCTGCAGCCGCTGCTGCGCTGCTGCTGCGCTGCTGCTGCTTCGCTTTGCTGTTTTGCTGCTGCAGCAGCAGAGACAAGCCCCGGGTGTACGTACACTGCAGCTGCCGCCACCGACGCTGCTTCTCTCGAGGCCAGCAGCAGCGCAGCCGCTGCAACCCCGCCCAAACCTTAAACCCTAAACCCTAAACCCTAAACCCTAAACCCTTGACCGCGCTTTTCTTCCGGGCCATGCAGCTGCAGCGCAGCTCTAGGCCTCAAACCCTAGCCTGCAAACCCTAAACCCTAGCCTGCAAACCCTAAACCCTTGCCTGCAAACCCTAAACCCTAACCGCAAACCCTCGGATCGTTGCTGCTCAGCAGCTGCCTGCACCTGCAGCAAGGCGAGAAGGAGGAGTTGAGGGTTTAGGGTTTAGGGTTTAGGGTTTAGGGTTTAGGGTTTCCTGAGCGAGATGGCAGTGGAGGAGCTGGCGAGGAGTCGTGCAGCGACGCGATGAGGACAGTAGAAGAGTAAGGACGCAAACCCTAAACCCTAAACCCTAAACCCTAAACCCTCTAGTCTTGAGCCCTGCACTGCCACGCACGAATGCCCTTCAGTATTTCCGACTGCAGGCGTCGCAGCTCTCGAAGTGACCCTAGGCTTTAGGGTTTAGGGTTTAGGGTTTAGGGTTTAGGGTTTAGGGTTTAGGGTTTAGGGTTTGCGCAGGCTGCACTGCCACACGGTGGCGGAGCTGAGCGCGGCCTGTCGGGCTTTGGGGCTTCCCGTGAAGGGTTTGAAGAAAGATCTTGTTTGCCGCCTCATGGCTTTTGAAAAGTCCTAAACCCTAAACCCTAAACCCTAAACCCTAAACCCTAAACCCTAGTTGCTTCACGCCCGCAGCTGCTGCTTCTTCGGGGCCTGCGCTGAATTCCAGGATTGACGCGCTAGGGTTTGGGGTTTAGGGTTTAGGGTTTGCGCGCCGGGAGAGCTAGTGGCCTTCGCAGCGCCTCCAAACCCCCCAAACCCTAAACCCTAAACCCTAAACCCTAAACCCTAGACCTGTTGTGGGCTGCTGCTGCAGGACGCGAGGGCCCCTGCCTCCCGAGCTGCTGCACCGCCGCCCCTTCCAGCGGCAGCGGCAGCCGCCGCCTCCGCCCCCGCTGCAGCAGCAGCAGCAGCAGCAGCACCAGCAGCAGCAGCAGCAGCAGCAGCAGCAGCAGCAGCACGTGAGCCCCCGCCGGGTGTACATACAGCCCGCGGGGGTTGTGGATCACCCCACAGCAGCGCAGGAGCAGCAGCGGGCGAAGCAGCACTTCCTGCAGTATCAGCAGCAGCAGCAGCAGCTGCTGCAGCAGCAGCAGCTGCTGCTGCTGCAGCAGCAGCAGCAGCAGCAACACCGACACGCAGCAACTCTCCCAGCTAGCCACGCAGCTAGCCAGGCAGCTAGCCGCCACCACCCGGCTCCCCACCGCCCCCGCAACGCCTTATCTTCTGCCCACAACTGTAAGCAGCAGCAGCAGCAGCAGCAGCAGCAGCAGCAGCAGCAGCAGCAGCCATAGCAGCAGCAGGCAGACCGGCGACTGCAGCAGCAGCCACAGAAGCAGCTGCCACAGCAGTAGCAGCAGCAACAGCAGCCACGGCAGCAGCAGCCACAGCAGCAGCAGCAGCCACAGCAGCAGCAGCAGCAGCCACAGCAGCAGCAGCCACAGCAGCAGCAGCAGCAGCAGCAGCAGCAGCAGACTTTGTGTTGCTTTTTGATTAGGTGGAGCTTCTGCAACGGGGGGCCAGTGTGTCTGCGGCGATGAGCTGTCGCTGCAGCAGCAGCAGCTGCTGCTGCAGCAGCAGCAGCCGCTGATTTGCTGCAGCAGCTGCGGGGCGCACTGCGTGAGTTAGTTTTATTTTATTTTTGATTTAATTTAATTTAATTAATTTATTAATTTAATTTAATTTAATTAATTTAATTTAATTAATTTAATTAGTTTAATTTAATTAATTTAATTCAATTAATTTAATTTATTTAATTTAATTAGTTTAATTTAACTATTTTAATTTAATTTATTGATTTTTATTTTTTTATTTCTTTCGGCCTTTTGCTGCACCTCTGCTGCTGCTGCACTCTTCCGTCATTTTATTTATTTCTTTTTATATCTCAATTTATTTTAATTATCTGATTAGCTTTTTATTTATTTATTTATTTATTTATTTATTTTATTTATTTATTTTATTTGTTTATTTATTTATTTAATTTATTAATTTATTTATTTTATTTATTTATTGTTTTTATTTATTTATTTGCTAGTGAGCTCTTGACGTGGTTGTTTGGGTTTTATTTATTTATTTGTTTTTAATTTTAATTTAAATTTATATTTCAATTTTAATTTTTAATTTTAATTTTTAATTTTAATTTTGAATTTACAATTATTTCTTATATTTAGTTTATCTTGTGTTGCTGCGCAGTCATAAATTGTGCCTGTGAAGTCGCGGAAAGTCCGTTTGCAGCCCCCAGAGCGCCAAATTGGCTGGAATTTTGTGGGGGCCGCGGCTAGGGTTTAGGGTTTAGGGTTTAGGGTTTAGGGTTTGCGTGAAGGCGCGGGTAATGCGTTTGGAACCGCTGAAAGACTCGATTTGCTGCTGCTTGGGGCGTGCTAGGGTTTAGGGTTTAGGGTTTAGGGTTTGCGTGAAGTCGCGGAAAGTCCGTTTGCAGCCCCCAGAGCGCCAAATTGGCTGGAATTTTGTGGGGGCCGCGGCTAGGGTTTAGGGTTTAGGGTTTAGGGTTTAGGGTTTGCGTGAAGGCGCGGGTAATGCGTTTGGAACCGCTGAAAGACTCGATTTGCTGCTGCTTGGGGCGTGCTAGGGTTTAGGGTTTAGGGTTTAGGGTTTGCGT